TCAGACCCAGGAGTCCAGAGTCCCAGCCCCTCCTCCATCAGACCCAGGCCCCCAGCCCTTCCTCCCTCAGACTCAGGAGTCCAGGCCCTGCCCCTCCTCCCGCAGGACTCGGGAGCTGAAGTAGCTGTGGGAAGCGCCAGGGACAGAGGTGCTCTCATGTTCTCAGCACCTGTTCCGCGCCTAGCCCTGCACAGGGCTTTACACTGGATCCTCCCAGCTGCCCAAAGGGTCAGTATTTATCCCCAGTTTACGGAGCAGGAAACTGAGGTTCCGAGAAGCGATCGTGTTACACAAGGTCAGAAGGGGAGCGGGCCCCGGGCCAGGTCTGTGTGACTCAGAGTCCTGCTGCCTGCCCCACTCGTGTTCCCACTACTACTACAGCCCTGCTATTAATAAAGAAACAGCAACGGCAGCGACGCGTAGGCTCTGGAAGGATCTGCAGGAAACCGGCTGTGGCGCTGGCCGCTGGGGAGCTGGATGGGGCCCAAGGAGGGTCAGAGGTAGAGCTTCCTTTGCTGTTTGACTCTTCTGAGGTTAGACTGGAGAAAGTCACAAACCTACAGAAAAGTAGAAAAAGCGCTGTCCATGCCTGTAATCCCAGCTACTGGGGAGGCAGAGGCAGGAGAATCTCTTGAACCCTGGGAGGCGGAGGTTGTGGTGAGCCGAGATCACGACACCGCACTCCAGCCTGGGCAGCGGAGCGGGACTCCGTCTCAAAAACAAACAAAAATAATCACAACAAAACAAAAGCAAAAAAGCACTGTCATGAACACCCATTGGCTACACTTCACAGACGTGACCATTTGGCTATATTTGCTTGATCTTTGTTTCTTTGTTGGGGGGGCATACAAACTAGTTTCAAGTAAATGATAGATATTGAAGTCTTTTGGAAGTGGAAATGCTGAGCAGTTTGGTGTGTCTACTTTAAAATCGTCTGGCCAGCTGGGCGCGGTGGCTCACGCCTGTAATCCCAGCACTTTGGGAGGCCGAGGTGGGCGGATCACCTGAGGTTGGGAGTTTGAGACC